ACTCCTCGGAAGGAAGGTTGGGCAATCCTACTTCCGTAGTGATACTGCCTCGGAAACCCAAGGAGGGGTCGCTATGAGTCGGGTCCGACTTGACGGCACATAACAACAACAACAACAAGAGATTATTCTGGTGATGAAAAGCCTTCTTTTTCATACTTGAACATACTTATCAATAAATGAGTATAAAATTATTTTCTTGGCATCTTGGTAGGCCATGTTTGAAGCTCTGCCCACATCACTCTAATTTCTCCATCTTTTACTTAGTGTGAGGGAGTTCTGGGGCTTCTCTAGTTTGACTACTGCCGGTTGCCTCTCCTAGTTCCTCAGGGCTTTGGCAAAATTTCAATTAGGACAATTACACTCCACTCCACTAATTCCACCCAAACCCCTGCAGTGTGAAAGCTATATGGTTCTTTGGTATACTTTGAAACAGCAGTTGTTCTGCCTGGAGAGTATTATTTCCACATCATAAGACTGGATAGAGAACAGGGAATAATTGAGGCCAACCTGGGTCATCAGAAAGCCATGGCAATGTGTGGGGTTGTGGTACCTTGCAACCCCTAATATTCAAACAGTTTTATATCTTTAGATCTGAGCCTCTCATGCTTCCTTTGCAATCATTAAATTAAGTTGTACTGGAGAAAAGCAGTTATTTGTAGTCATGAGGAGGTACTTTGGTTGAATATGCAGGCAGCATACTTTATATAACATATACATTTCCAAAGATTATTTGAAAATGATCATTTAGAAATGAGAATGGATCACCCCAAATAGTATTATATGTTGTGGTTAGATCTCCACATCTTAAAAAAAAAAAAAAAAAAAAAAAGTCTGTTTAAGACTTAAATTGTTTAGGAATACGGGCCTTGGAGTAATGGAGACCAGGTTCAATTCAGATCTACCACTTGTTAGTTCTTTCAACTGAACAAGCTGCTTATCCTCACTAATCCTATTTACTCCTTAGTAAAATGAGGTAATCACACACAGCAGAACTCAGCCCTATGAGCTCTAGTCTTTGGAAATAATAGGCAAACAGACATGAAACCATAGACACCAAACAACCCAGCTGTCCAGTTATCCCTTTATTGTTTTTAGCTTAGCATGTGTAGAAAGAGGAAGTTTACATTCCTGGGACAGCAAAAGGATATCTAAAATTTGGCTTACATTTCATACTGCAGACTGTGAGCTATTTCTCAGTTCTTCTGGTGAAAATAGCAAGACTCTGGATTCCGCACTGAGACCAGCTATAGGAGTAAGGAAGTGAAGGGAAGTTGGCTGTGGAGAATCCCTTTGCCTTTAGGTCAATGCCAGAATAATCCCTCTTGCCTCTTCACAGTCTATAGAGGAAAGTGGTAGCAATGGGTACTTAAAATGAGGATTTCTAAGTGTGGGAATGGATATGAAAGAGCAGTTCTTATGACCTCTGGGTCATCTGGCCATCTCAGTTCTTTCTAGTTCTAGTCATAGGTAGACAGTGATGCAAGTCAAATCTAATATGCATGTCACTATTCACATCTCTGTTCTGTGGAGGGAGATATGGGTACCCATAGGAGAAATAATGATAAAAGCTATTACTTAAGTCACTAAATATTAAACATTCAATAATAAGATACTCTATAACTTTAGTTAATTCTCACAGTTCAGTGTCCTAGGCATATCTTCTCATACTGAAAATATCTGCTTGTACATCTGTCTCCCTCCCCGGACTATAAATTTCTCCAACTTAAGGACTGTGTGTTTATTTTCATCTTTGTATAACTGTTGCATTTCATAATGACTATTACTGTGTTTAATAAACATTTATACTATTGAACTGGGACTTTCATTCAATAGGCATTATGTTCATTCAACAAATAATGAAAATGAGGACCAGAGATACAAAAACACCATATTTTACTCAGTTTGCAAGAGGCAGGATTCCAATTTATTTCAAAGAGATTCCAAGCCTATTCACCACAATATTACCTGGATTAATAAATACTCTTGGGCTGTATCAAAAAAATGAAGTACACATACTCTGTTGGACAGATTTGTTTATCTTCCTTGGACTTTGAACATCTTTATCTTAGCCTACGTATCAAAGAAGAAAGGATTTTCATAGTAGAAGGAAGCTAGAAGCTCTAGACTCACATGTACTTTTCCTTAAACTCATGGAAATGGCTCTACTTGGTCTTTCTTTGATGAAAATTGCTCTTTTTCCTTCTCAAAAAAAGTGCTCACCTTTTTGTCTTTGAACTCAGATTTAGATCTGGCTTTCAGTAAGAAATGAGTGGTAGACAGAGAACTATGTTCTTAATTCTCTTCTTTTCTCTGACTCTTTTGCACATTTTCAGTCAAGTCACAGGTTACTTCTGCATCATGTTCTGTATCTGTGAGGTTCAATGATAACTTCTTGAGAAGACTTAATCTTTAGACTATGAAAGGATCTCTGAGAGTTTTTCAACTATTAGGAGCAAAAACTGCATTTAGTATAAAGAAAAAGGAATTTTTTAATGTGCTTAACAATATTTTCTGTTATTGTTTTCCTTCTTTATGTCTCATTCAGGTTGAAATAAGAAACATTGGAAAGATATATAAGATCAGAATAGGACATGATGGAACTAGTGAACAAGCTGAATGGAGCTTACAGAGGGTAATGTGTTTGATTTTGTGTTTCATAAATATATTACGATGAAAAGAAATAAGCAGGCTACTTAAAGCATTGAAAATAGCATATTTTCTTTTTGTTGCAAATAATGTCAACAATATTTTTGTAAATGTAACACTGTAAACAATTATGACTTATTTTTTTGAAAGTTTTTAATAGGATTTTTATCATTATATTTACAAAAGTAATCTGTTTATGAAAGAAAATCTGCAAAATACAGTGAAGCATAGGAACAAAAATGAGTTAGTTACTCATCAGTCAATAGATGAACATTCTGGTGGTTCATTTTTTCAAATCTTTTTTTCTGTGAGTGTTTCTTTCTCTTTGTATATGTATATATTTACACACATACACACACACATATACACACTATTTGCACTTTTCCTCTTTAATGAAATTTAACCATGCTATGTATGTACTTGGCTGTACACGTGGACTTCACCAGATGGAACACACAGGAATCAGATTGACTACATCTGTGGCAAGAGGCGGTGGAAAAGCTCAATA